GATCGCTTCTTTTGGCAGTGGCTCCTGATGAACAAGCCCTGGTCTGCTAAAAGACAGTAGGTGCCTAAAGCATGCAGGGTTCAACCCTTGGGTCAGGCGCATCGTTCGGGCACGGAGCTGCAGCACGCCAACGCTCTGAAAGTGTCGCCCCGGCGGCGCCGCTCGGCGCTCGCCGTCTTCGCTTGTCCTGGCACCTGGGATAACCCGGCTTGGGTCCAGGACTGCCTCCAACAGGAAGGGCATCGACTGGATTACATTCTGGACCAGGTCGCTCGCCTGGGAGCACTTTGCGCGTGCATCCAGGCATGGAGTTCCAGTAAAACAACAGCATATAGTAACAAGGTAGAGAAGCCACAAGGTTCACAGCCTCAACACGACATCCTGCGGCGCCAGGCTGAAGTCAATGGCACCTGGAAGCAGTCACTGCGCCTGGATGTAGACGCAGCTTCCACGGAGCGACCTTGAACGAGAACCAAGCACTATTTCTGCATCGGGTACTGTGTGACGACGATCTGCGCCAGGACGGCAGAGAAACGCCAGTTCGCTTAACCATGTACTGTCAGAGTAACTCATTCGCTATGCTTACTTCGATGCTTCATGTCAGGATGCCGCCAGCAACGAGCATGTTCACCTCGACCGGGTACAACCTCATTATTTGGGAGGTGGCCCAGGCAGTGGCAAGACACACTGCATTCTGGCAGTGATGGATTGAATTGCCTGCAGGCTCGTGGCCGAGGCATTCTGTACGCCACGCCAACCGGTCGGCTGGCGGCCACGCAGCGTGGAGGTGAGTTTATGGCCACCACATACCATCGTGCGTTTAACATCCTCGACGCCACCACGGAGCACTGCCTCGCCATGCACTACGACGTCTGGATCCTCGATGAGCTGAGCATGGTACCCGCCAGCCACTTCAAGAGGATCCTGCGTCTCTGGCGGCGTGCCGGCTCCGCACCAATTTTGATCTTCGTCAGCGACTTTGCGCAGCTGCCTCCAGTCGTGACGCACGGAGAAGCGACAGCCACTGGGTAAACACAGCGACCCGAGGTAAGACGTTCATTTTTTCTAGTTATGAATAATTAATAAGTCTTACTGCTTCTGTCTGCGACGACGTGCTTTCAGAAAAGGAATGTCGCAGCTGCGGGTCCTGGCGCAGATTGCAAAAATTCGATCTGGGCACGGGTTCCTGACGGACCGTGGACCCTAGTTTGCTGGATTTTCAGAAGGCAGTCCGTTGGGTAAAGCCCACGCAGCAGGATGTGGATGAGTCCTGCTCTCCACTTCTTGTTGCTGAAGCCTTGGAGAGCTCTGCTCTGTAGCGCCTTTTTGAAGAGTTCACGGACTTCACCGTGTTGACGGCGACAAGAGCTGCTGCGTCTTTTGTCAATGACTGGGGGCGGAATTACTTTGGACGGGTACCTCTAGGAGCGGTTGATGTTTGGTCCCGTGAGGAGGACAGCCCCCCTGTAGAGCTACGGCTTTTTTGCAATCTCCGTGTCCGGCTTCTGCAGACCATGCATTTTCAGCATGGATTGGTTACCTCTTAGATTCGGTTAGGTTATTTCCTGACTATTATCCATATCCCAAAAGATAGACTAATAGTCAGAATAGAATAACCTATATCTCAGGAGATAGGTTATTTAAATAACCTAAGAGAAAAGGTTATTTGAAAGAATAGACTATGAGTTCCAAAGGTTATTTGAAAGAATAAACTATGATATTTTGTTTTTTGTTAGCAGGAGCAGGCACCCTAAGTAGCATTTGTTGTGCGGAACTTTTTTTTTCCAGAACCTAGGTAACATGTGCAGGATTGCTGGCATGTTTTGCAAGACCTAAGTAACATTTGCGACATCTAAGTAGCATGTCCCCTGTCAGGTTTTTATGATTTGTGTGCAGCATGGCAGACTTGAATGTTGTTCCGTTGCGGATTGCAGGCTGAAAACATAGCAAGAAGCACAGGTATGGCATGGTGCCAGAAGAATCTTGCGAGCAGACAATAGGAAAACTGTGTGGGCACATGTGGGCTTGAAACTCATGCGACTCATGTCTATGTAGAGATTTTCTAGAGCCCTGCTGCAGCATGGCGCAGTCAAAGTATGAAACCACCCGAGTGAAAGTGGATCCGACGATAGGCGTCATTGATCTGCAAAAGGTTTTGAAGAAGCATGTGGACAATGCCCAAGACAAGGATATTTGGAATATTCTGAAGCATCCCACCGGTGCTCCCTTCTCTTGGAAGACGGCGGTATGTATTCCGTGGATCGCTCAGGCAGCCTATCTCCTCGTAGATTTCCTCCAGGTAGCCCCGAACTGCGTTCTGCCTGCGGCGAAGCTTCGCACGAGTTTGAAGCGGTTGGTGGTTGATGGTACGGAGAAAACCAAGAAAGTGAACCGCACGAACTATGCTACAGATGATTTCGTGGACCAGATCGACAGCAGAATTCGCATCCTGCTAAGCCAAGTCCGGTGTTTGAAGAAGCAGGACGAGTACGTGAGAGCAGTACGGACAGCCACGGAGTCGGAAAAGGCAAGGATCGACATGGTGTTGTCTCATGTGTTCTCCGAGAAGGAGAACACGGTTGGGGCAAGCTCCAGCGGCCAAGCGACTGGTCTGGAGATAGTTCCTTATAGACCTCCAGAGATGCGGAGCGAGGGCATTTTTGGAAGAATCTTGGCGAAGCAGGATAGCAGCCCACGGCCCTTGAAGAAAGCTAGCCTGGTGATGGGGCCTGGAAGTCCCGTCAAGATTTGGAGGGGAGCCGCGAAGATCTGCAGTCCGAAAGCTTCTGCGAGGGCGGCTGAGGACCCCACGGTGTTCGGGAGGCCTTTGATGGTTGGAGATTTGGGAAGCAGCTCCAGCGAGGAAGGTGCTTCACAAGCTGCTGCCTCCAGCTCTAGCAGGCCGGTCAGGAAGGTGGCCCCAAAGGCAGAGGCTCTGGTGAAGCCTTTGGTGTCAGAAGCTGCCTCGTATGGCTTGGATGCTGGAGATCTGGACATCATGAAGCAGGCGAACCTCCACAGAGTGGTGAACAACAAGAAGTCTTTCAAGAAGCCGGCAGCGGCCGTGGGCAACAGTAAGAAGAAGCACGAGAGTGCTTCGAAGGCCGCGAGTGCTTCGAAGCCCGCCGATGTTTCGAAGCCCGCCAGTGCTTCGAAGCCCGCGAAGGGCGCTTACAAGTGCAGTTTCAAGAAACGAAAGACCTCCGCTGTCTACCATAAGGAGCACACACTGAGGCTCAGGTTGGGCGACTCCCCGCAGACTGCGAAGAAGAAGGCCAGAGCTGCCATGGCAGAGGTTGCATCCAAGATAGATGCCGGTATCATCACTGAGCATGGCTCCTAGATCTCAGCACAGTTTTCGCGGCACGAAGGCTGACGAGGTTCCAGCGAAAGCAAAATAAGGTCGGCATTGTTGCAGCTCTCGACTGTCTAAGTAGCATTGTTTGGCAGCGCTTTTTTTGGAAGGCTAAGTCACATCTGCATGTCTGCATGGCATCCAGGAAGAGTGGCGGCCTGCTAGGAAGCTTTGCTCAGCCGTGCCTCTTGTTCCTCTAGTACGGAGGCTCTATGCATGGTTAAATAGCACGAGTGTTGCAGTGAAGGTTTTTGCCATCGACCACAGATATTTTTTTCAAGTCACAAGCATTGTTCCAGTTTGCCTGCAAACCGGTGAGCGAGAGCCATCTATGGCATTGTGTGCAACGAAAGGTTGCAATCGGCGGGCCGGTGGCAAACATGGCCTTTGCTGCGGCCAGTGCAACGAGGTATTCGTCGGATCGCATTCCAAGCGATGCAACAGGTCGCATCCAGAGATTATGGCCACTATCCGAGTTTGTGCCCGGCCAGGTTGCGAGCTCTTGGTGACAGGTCCGTTTAGCTATTGCTGTTCTGCTTGTTGCCAGAATAGCTCTATCCATTCCAGCAGGTGCCGCAGGAGGCATGAAGCTTTGGTGGCTCAAAGGGCACAAGGAGATGGTGGGAGGCATGAAGCTGTGGCGGCCCAAGCTGCTTCTTGGCTTGGCTTGCTGGCAGGCTGTTCCAGTGCTGATTCCAAACGGCTGGCAGTAAGTTGCAGAATCACTGATTCTGCAACTTACTGCCAGCCGGTTGTGCTGCTCCTGGAGCCTGAGGCTGGTTCTGCATGCGGCTGCGAAGAATGGAGAAAGGCGAACCAGAAGTGATTGATGTTTTCTACTCCAAAAAAAAACTTCCGCCAAACTTAGGACAAACAAACTAGGGCCTGAGACGTTAAATACCGATAGAATGTGTTTTGGTTTTCACCAGCGACCCCAAACCCCAGAAGTGACTGATGTTTTCTACTGAAAAGAAACCTTGGCAAAGCATGGGGAAAGAACAAGGGCCTGAGACGTTATAGGTACCGGTAGAATGTGTTTTGGTTTTTCAAAAGCACCGGAAACAAGGTAACATGTTTTTCACTGTGAAACGAGAGACTATGTAACATGCCTTTTCCCCCTCTAGGTAACATTGGCAATCCCACAGTCCTTGACCCCCTCTAAGTAACATTGGTCAACTAGGTAACATGTTGTCGCCATCAAACCAAGAGCCAAAGCAAGACTAGGTAACATGCCTCTTCCCCCTCTAGGTAACATTTTGGCAATGTCGCAGTCCTTCACCCCCTCTAAGTAACATTGGCCGACTACATGTCTTGCCCCTCTAAGTAACATTGCTCGCCTTGCAACTAGGTAACATGCCAGTCTGGACATGCAGCATGCAGCAGAGTGCGAGAGTGAAATTGTGGTCCCCGGCAGACCGGCTCCACAGAGTAGAGAAGCAGAAGCACTCTTGAGAGCAGACACTCTGTGAGCAGCCACACAGCACGACGGCACAGCTTAGAGGCACAGCCACAACACAGCACACAGCACAGAGCACACAGCACACAGCAAGCACAGCACAGAGCAAACACAGCACAGACAGCACAGACAAGACAACACTAGAAACAAAGCCATGAGCACTACTGGCTTGTGGCTGGGCGGGCTGCCATGGTGGACAACAACCGAAGGCCTGCTGGAATGGCTAGACAAGGCTGGGGCTCCTCGTCCCCAAAACGTACAGTGGCTGCCGACACGTGCTGCTGAAGCTACCCTTTCTGCCGTGGTACTACACTACAACACCACGGCAGCACGGGACACAGCTTTGGAGCTGGTCCCCCTTAGCTACAAGGGACACAGAGTGTCGCGAAAACAGCAGCGGCCACAACCCAAAGCAGCAGCAGCACAGCAGCCGGCAGCAGCAGCAGAGCAGCCGCAGCAGCAGCGGCAGCCTGCAGCTGCAGAGCAGCGGCAGCCTGCAACAGCAGAGCAGCCGCAGCAGCACCAGGTGCATGCACCAACAGCAAAGCAGCCGCAGCAGCAACCGCCGGCAGCAGCAGCAGAGCAGCGGCGGCAGCAGCAGGAACCGGGCTTTGATGATGGGTCCACTCCGAAGATGCCGCAGGCAGTGCCACCGTGGAGAAGGCTTTCTGCTGGTGCAATGGGGTCTGGAGTGCCTTTGCCTGGTACAATGCGGCCTGGAGTGCCTTTGCCTGGTACAATGCGGCCTGGAGTGCCTTTGCCTGGTACAATGGGCCCTGGAGCGGCCAACCTTGGAATGCCTTTCTTGCCTGGTACAATGGGCCCTGGAGCGGCCAGGCTTGGAGTGCCTTTAATGCCTGGTACAATGTGCCTTTGGTGCCTGGTACAATGGGCCCTGGAGCGGCCGGGCTTGGAGTGCCCTTTCCTGGTTTTCCGCCAATGCCAGCAGCACCTGCTTTTCCGCCAGTGCCAGCACCTGCATTTCCGCCAGCAGCACCTGTTTTTCCGCCTTTGGTGCCGCCGCCTATCCAGTTGCCTCCTGGGTTTGTCTGGCGGGCAGTGGCAACTGGAGATGGAAGCCGCTGTGCTCAAAGCAGGTTTTCTTTCCGTCTATAAGCATGGGCACAGATGTTTCTTTTGGTTTTTTAAAACACACCTACCAATAAAATCAGAGACCTCAGGAGCAGAGGCTCCAGCAGAGCCGCCGGCTCCGCCGGCTTCGCCAACTGTTGCTGGGGACACGACAGAGGAGGAGGATGACAACAAGACCATCATCCCGGAGACACAAGACAGAAAGAAGTATCTGTTTTGTTCTGGTGTACTTATGAGGATGTTGGTAAGGAAGAGACTTTAAACCTTAAAACACCCGCATCCAAGGCACAGCTCGCCAGTTTCGCCTGCACGGCTGGAGGAGGTGGAGGAGGCATCTTCGTCAGCTGCGGGTCCACAGCCACATGGCAGGAATTACGGTTTTGCTGCTTCCCCGAGGATGCTAAGTAACATTGGTGTCGCTCCTCACATAGAGCTGCCTAACTAACATTCTAAGTCACATTGGTTCCTAGCCTCAGGCCGTGTTTCTGTTTCCAAGAAACATTCTAAGTAGCATTGTCGCTAGGCCCTGTTGCCCCGTCTAAGTAACATTGCTGAGATTCTAAGTAACATTCCAAGTAGCATTGTCACTAAGACCTGTTGCCCCCTCTAAGTAACATTGCTGAGTTTCTATAAGTCACATTCTAAGTAGCATTCTCGCTGTGCCCTGCTGCCCCCTCTAAGTAGCATTGCTCCGTTTCTAAGTAACATTCTAAGTAGCATTCTCGCTGGGCCCTGCTGCCCCCTCTAAGTAACATTACCGAGTTTCTAAGTAACATTCGCTAGGAGCTGCTGCCCCCACTAAGTAACATTGCTCAGTTTCTAAGTAACATTCTAAGTAGCATTGTCGCTGGGCCCTGCTGCCCCCTCTAAGTAACATTGCTGAGTTTTCGAAATATCGTCCCAGGCCCAGGGCGGCCAAAGAGGAGGAGGAGGATCTGGAAAGGCCTCCGTCCGTGGAGGTGGAGGCCATCAGCAGGCCGGTATTGGGTTGTGGCCATGAGCAAACTCCCCAAGAACCTCTTTGCACTCTTGGATTTGAGGGACTCCTCACGATTTCCCGGCCTCTAGAAGACCAAGTACTAATCGCCTGCGAGGATCACTCGTCCTCGCGATCCTCGCCGGCGATCTCCGCCAAGCACTCTGGATTCCAGGCAGCAATACATCCCAGGTTTAGACAGGAAGCCAGCCTGATTTGAGAATAAAGACAGCCCCGGGGTTCTACAATAAAATGCCGCAGCTCAGGAGCCGGTGCCTTCTGAGAAGCGGCGAAGGAGCTTGCCCCAGCCGCCGGGGGAGAAGCGGCCGCAGTGAGATCGCGGTCGGTGCAAACAGGCGGCAGCGAGTTCTTTCAGAGTCTGGAATTTCTAAAGGTTTGAAACCTGAAGGCCTCCAGCCTAAATCCTCTTGCCCTAAACCCCGAACCCTGAAGCCTCAAGCCTAAACCCAAATCGGGAACTCCGAACCCAATACCCTGAACCCTAAACCCAGACTCCGTCTCTAAGTAACATGGACCAGGTAACATGATAGCAGAGTGTGGGTTCTTCAGTGTTTCTTCCACAGTCTTGAGTCGGGAATAACAATGATTCCGTGGGTTCATGCATATAGCTTGCAAACTAAGCAGAGGGCAGAATATGCGTAAACCGTGTGTGTCCTACATCGTAAGTAACATTGTCTCTTTGAGGGTCCCAGTGCCGAAGTAGCATGAACAGGAACCACTCCAGGCCCAGGAGCTGCTAAGTAACATGGACAGCAATAGACCCCCCCCCCCCCAAGCTGCTACGTAACATGTTTCTTTTCGGACCTGCTAAGTATCGAGGACACAAAGCCCCAGCTAAAGGCAAGAGCCGCTAAGTAACATGGACACCAAGTCCCCCAGCAGAAGCGGCTACGTAACATGTTTCTGTTGGGCTTCTGGAATATTTCTGTTTGTTTAACTTACGAAGCCACTTTCACAGTCGCATTCGAAGACACATGTGTTCAGGCTCTGCTTGCCTTTAAAGCGAAACCCTGAAACCCATCCCCCAAAAACCTAAGCCAGCAACCGCACTCTGCACCCTGGACTACAATCATAAGCACACAGCAGTAGATGCTAAGTAACATTGTCAGATAGGGTCACGAGCTGCTAAGTAACATTGAAAGACATTGTCGGGTAGGGTCAGGAGCTGCTAAGTAACATTCACATATGCCACCCCACCCCCGCCCCCCCAAAAAAAAAGCGCCGCGAGCTGCTAAGTATCATTGACAGAAGCCCCCTCCCCCCTAGGGCCACGAGCTGCTAAGTAACATTGACACAAACCCCCCACTCCGCCCCCACTTAGGAACAGTGACACCAAGCCCCCCCAACGGTTACGTAACATCCCTCTGTTGCACTAAAACAGAACAAGAAGTGATGTACTCATTCCATCGAGATAGGAGTTTTCTCGTTTTGCAGAAAGCATGAAAACCGCCGGCAGGCACAGACCAAAGCAGGAAAACCCAAGCCCAACACGAGCCGAACCAGCACAAAAATTAAACAAAATAACACCATTACAGGGAGTCGTCGGGAGTCCTCGGGTACCACCTCCCCTGGGTTTCACGTGAATGAGACGAGTCCAACGGCAGAGTCAAGCCGTTGGACTCACCTGTGCCAGACGAAAACCGACGACAACACATCCCCAAAACACCAAACCGACACAAAAGTGACACAAAACTGACACAAAAGTGACACAAAAGTGACACTAAACTGACACTAAAGTGACACTAAACTGACACTAAACTGACACTAAACTAACAGTTCAAAGGCAAAACTAACACAAAAGTAACACAACCGATATGTACTATTGTTAGTTTGGTAAAACTAACCCATGGAATTGTTACTTTAGTGTTACTTTTGCTGTGGGAGTGTTACTTTAGTGTCACTTTAGTGTCACTTTAGTGTCACTTTTGTGTCACTTTTGTGTCACTTTTGTGTCACTTTTGTGTCACTTTTGTGTGAGTTTGCTATCCCTGGAGCTTTTTCTGTGCTGTTTTCTTCCTGCTGCCCTTGATTCGTCTGGTTTCCGGCCTGTGATTTCAGGTGTTTCGAAACCGATCCGAGGACTTTCGCCTGGAAAAGAGAACTGTGCATCAGAGTTTTCCAATAATCTGGAATATCGTGCTCAAAACCATAACTAGGTGAAATCTTGCTTCGGCTTTCGAGCTATGGTGCTGAATACAAAACTAGGTAACATGCTCCTGTCAACATAGGCAGCTTGCTGCTGGCCCGACAAGAGGCAACATGGTCTCTAATGTTTCTAAGTAACAGTGCACGAGGAAACTTAGTCTTAAGTAACAGTGTGCAGGCAAACCTAGGTAACATGTTACTTAGAGAGCTGTGTATGTAACATGTACTGCTGTTGTCTAGTTCCACCCGTTGTGGTCGTTGACAAATCTGCACCCCGATCCGTGCTCGAATTCAAAAAGGCTAGTGGTGATTGGGAGTATGAAGTCCCGGGCACATGTCGTGACATGCTAAAACACCAGATTTTCATGCATGATGAGAAGAAGACTTTCCGAGAAGACTGATCCAGCCATGGCTGTTAAGGGTAGTGGTTCCCTGAAGAGAAAGGCAGCTCAGCTTGACCTCGACGGCGAACCGTTGACGGAAGCAGAGGCCGCCCCAGAACAGGAGCAGGAGGCACAGGAGAAGGAGGAGCAGAAGAGCCCCAAGCCAAAGAGCCCAGCCAAGCCCAAGAGCAAGAGCAAGCCGAGCAAGCCGCAGACCTCCCCCAAAGCAAAGGCGAAGGCAAAGGCCAAACCAAAAGCAAAAGCCGAGAGCAAGCCCCCAGCAAAAACACCCAAGGCCAAGAGCACAGCCAAAGCTACCCCCCAGCCGAAGGCCAAGAAAACTAAGCCGGGGAAGCAGCTCAAGGAGGGGGACAACAACAACAAGAACGTGACCAGACAGGAAAGCTTCGCTGACAAGGCTTTGCAGTGGAAGCTTGCAGCCGAGGACAAAGCCGAGGCCCAGGAGAAGCCTAAGGAGGAGCCCGAGGCAGAGGAGCAGGACGGCGACGAGGAGGACGACCAGGGCGGCGAAAAGAGGGACCTCGCCAAGGCCAGGAAATTCAAGAGAATGTCCGATGCCGGTGCAATCCCGGAACACATTCAGGAGGTTCTGAGCAAAGCGGAGACCCGTGCTGCCAAGACGGAGCTGATCAACGAGCTGTTCGACAAGAACGACAAAGGCAAGCTGATCATGAAATCCGACAAGCCCGTGTTCGAGACCACGAAGCAGGCCAAGCATCAGAAGTTTGGTCGAGATGAAACCATGGGGGCACCAAAGGATGTGCTTTTGCACCGGGACTACCATGGCGATGAAAAGGCTTTGGATGCTTCCATTGCAAGGGGCACGGTGATGGTGTGGCTGCAGGATGGGGTAGAGTTCGCGGGCTATCGGCAAACCGTTGCCGGGATTGGCAAGACGGTGGAGGACAAGCACCAAGCGAAGAGTGGTGCCAAGGAGATCACCGACGAGACCTTTCAGGCCCTCGACAAGGCCTTCCGAGCCATGACCTTTTCGTTTGATCAAGATGACCAGCCCCGCCAGGCGATCGCAGCAGAGGCAGCAAGCTCGAAGGAGCCCCCCGTCCTCAAGCAGTTCACGGAGTCCCAGCAAGCTTTGCTGGAGGAGGCCAAAGGAGCGATGGAGCGGCTTCATAGTGCTGCTATGAGGATGATTTCAAAATGCTCGCAAGCGAAGGACAAGGAGAGCTTCAAGCCGCACATGCTTGCTATGAAATCATGGATGGACAGGGACGACCACCTGTTGCTATGGAAAGAGTTCCCAGACTCAGAGCGGCCCCTCACCGCTGCAACCTTCAAGGACTACATGTGTGAGCATTCCGAAACGGCGGTTTCCTTGAACGAGGAGTGCGAGAAATTCAAAGCCCTTTTGAAAGCAAGGAAGGAGCTGTGATTCCATCCCGAGTCTTGCTCATCATGTGCACTTTGATATGAAGAGAAACGTGCTAAGTAACATACTCGGTACTAGGTTTCATTCCGGTTATCAATTGTTTTCTAGCAACTAAGTAACAATGTTGTTGTTCAGCATTGGCACCCTGGCCATGAAGACATGTTGTCGGCGAGACACGTAGCCATGTCTGTAGTTTTGCTTCTGTTGCAGCAAATCCTTTGCTATAGATGCCACGGTTTTCGGGTTCACTAAGATGTTAATAACATAGAGGGTTTCACATTGGAGGTTCGGGGTGCCCGTTTGTGGATGTTCTAGAGGGGTATGGTTTATGACAGTTTATGATACCATTTTGGGATCGAAGGGTTTGCTCTGTGGCCCTGGCATTGGAGCTGTGCTGCGATAGTTTTCTTAGCATCCTCAGAAGCTGCCGGGCAGCCTGGGGTATAGAAGCCTCGAGTTCCGGGGGTGTGGTGTGTGCAACGTTTCATAGTGGCATAGCACGAGGCTTGTTATTTGCAGCTGATGTTCTCGCCCACAGGCCCTCTTGTCATATGAACAGCACAAACTGGAGTCCGAATTTCCGAGAACATCGTGTTGCGGGGGGTCCAAGTTTTGTGGGCTCTGTGAAACATGTGCCGCTTCACCTGGTTGCACCATTGGCAGCAAGATCCGAAAACAATGTATGCTGCTGGGTTGCTGCTCAGCAGTGTTATGTTGGTTGGGGTTTCTGAGCGCTCAGGGTTTCAGTGTGCATACATAAAAAATGTGGTTGAGGTTTTATTTGTGTTCCTAGAGTCAAAACCTCTGTCTATGCCCCCCCGGCCTGACAGTCCCAGCGAAACCCCGCTGGAGCCCAACACTTGATTCTAAGTAACATTGTGTCGGCATGCATAAAAATTGTTGTTGAGGTATGCTTCGTGCTCTTAGAGTCAAAACCTCTGTGTATGCCCCCGGCATGAAAGTCCCAATCAACATTTGCTGAAGCCCAACACTTTATTCTAAGTAACATTGTGTGTGCATGCATAAAAATTGTTGTTGAGGTATGCTTCGTGCTCGTAGAGTCAAAACCTGTGTGTATGCCCCCGGCATCAAAGTCCCAGTCAAAATTTGCTGAAGCCCAACACATAATTCTAAGTAACATTGTGAGCATGCATAAAAATTGTTGTTGAGGTATGCTTCGTGCTCTTAGAGTCAAAACCTCTGTGTATGCCCCCGGCATGAAAGTCCCAATCAACATTTGCTGAAGCCCAACACTTTATTCTAAGTAACATTGTGTGTGCATGCATAAAAATTGTTGTTGAGGTATGCTTCGTGCTCGTAGAGTCAAAACCTGTGTGTATGCCCCCGGCATCAAAGTCCCAGTCAAAATTTGCTGAAGCCCAACACATAATTCTAAGTAACATTGTGAGCATGCATAAAAATTGTTGTTGAGGTATGCTTCGTGTTCCTAAAGTGAAAACCTCTGTGTATGCCCCCGGCATCAAAGTCCCAGTCAAAATTTGCTGAAGCCCAACACATAATTCTAAGTAACATTGTGAGCATGCATAAAAATTGTTGTTGAGGTATGCTTCGTGTTCCTAAAGTGAAAACCTCTGTGTATGCCCCCGGCATCAAAGTCCCAGTCAAACCCCGCTGAAGCCCAACACATAATTCTAAGTAACATTGTGAGCATGCCTAAAAATTGTTGTTGAGGTATGCTTCGTATTCCTAAAGTGAAAACCTCTGTGTATGCCCCCGGCATCAAAGTCCCAGTCAAACCCCGCTGAAGCCCAACACATAATCTAAGTAACATGCTGTGCATGCATAAATCTTGTTGTTGAGGTTTGCTTGGTGTTGCTACTCACAAAACCTTTTAGTATGCCCCCGGCATCAGAGTCCCACTCAAACCCAGCTGAAGGTCAACTCAGAATTCTAAGTAACATTGTGTGCATACATTCGGTTGAGGTTTGCTCGGTGGTCCTAGTCACACAACCTTTTAGTATGCCCCCCTCATCAAAGTCCCAGTCTAAGCCCGCTGAAGCCCAACACATAATTCTGTGCGGTGCCTCAGAAAATGACCCATCGAGTTGTGTGTTGATGTCGATAATCACAAAACCTTTTTGTATGCCGTCGTCGCAGCTTCGCTTGTGGCAAGAGAATAGAACACTGCTGTCCCAATGTTACTTAGATGGCACACATGATTAAATATGTGCTGACACATGTTACTTAAAGTTGATCTATTGTCACAGGAAAGATCTAGTGTTTGGATTCTGGTGCCATACAGCTACTTAGAGCACATGCTACCTAATTTTGATTGATGCCATACCGCATGTTGCCTAGATTTCTTCGATGTCACATGTTACCTAAAGCATATGTTACCTAGATTTCTTCGATGCCAGATGTTACCTAAAGCACATGTTACCTAGATTTCCTTGATACCACATGCTACCTAGAGCACATGTTACCTAGGGCAGGCCGTGAAAACAACATGCCATTATATATTTCTAAGCCACAGGAAGCCTCGGTAGAATCTGTGCGGTGCCGGAATGGCAGAGGAGCCCCCTCCAAAGCGGTTGAGGCGAGGTGGAGTGCAGCAGAGGATCCAAAAAGTTGAAGCCAGAAATGATGCAGCTCCTGTTGCGAGCAATCTGGCACATGAGCTGTTGGAGCGATGGTCGTGGGGCGAAGTGAGCCCTCAGGTGGTCCAAAAGCTGGCAGCTGCCTCCCAAAGGGACTTTCAAGCTGTCGGAGCGACACCGCCCAGCGAAGTCGCTGCTTTAGCTGGCTTGGGATCTGCTGGTCTGTATCCGAATAATATGCACAAGGAGATTCTGAAAATCGCCAACAAGAACAATGCTTTTTCGAAGCCCTTCGCTGTCAAAATGAACCTCAGGGATACTTAGAACCTTTTGTTTTTGTAGTTTGCTGGGTATAGTATCTCTAAGCCCTGAGAAAGAAATCCAAATTATAATTCCTGCCAGGGTTTCCCCATCTTCCAGCCAGGAGCTTCAAGCCACCCTGGGACAAACTGCTTCAGACGATGCTTCTTCCACATGTGGTATTTTCTGATCTTTACCACTCTTACCCAGCCGCCTTTGCAAAGTTCATGATGCCTTCTGGAGGTATTCAGAAACTTAAAGAATTCTGGCGCCTTCAGAAGGCGGGTCATCCCGCTTGGCGAAACCACCCGATCGTCAGCAAGAAGTCCTTCGATGCCGAGCATACCCTGCCTTTACAGCTACACGGGGACGGCACCCCTGTGGTGGGGATAGGGAAAATCTGGAGCAGGCAGCTGACCTCGTACACGTGGAACAGCCTTCTGGCAGAGGGGTGGACAAAGGACAGTATGATGCCATCGTGGTTTTGCTTCGATGAGACCGAGGCTGGAAAAGAAACGAAAGATAAATTTATCCGAATCATCTGTTGGTCGTTTGCCTGCCTTGCCAGTGGAGTCTGGCCAGCAGCCAACCACTTGGGTGCAAAGCAACTGTGCAAGTCCACTCATTCAAGCTTTTGCTGTCCGTTTTGGTTTCTGTCTATACACATTATAACGTGTTTCCTAAGTCTTCAAGGATTGAGGGGTGAAGCTCTGTGATAAACCCTGTTTGCAGATAGAATTCGTGGAATCAATTTTGGTTCCATTCCCAAGTTGCAGACCCTACTACCCCAGAACATGTGCCAGCAAAATAGGGCCCTTACATAGTTTCATTGACTTTTCTTTTCGGAGGTCACTCCTATTCTTTTAAAGACAAACAACCAGCAACGATTGTCGCCAGGCAGTCCTAAAGTCCCAGAGAAAAAAACTTCGAGGTATCCCGCCGGTACCGTGGAAGCCCGTCGAGCCGGGACGCCGCTGGCGAATGGACTGCGAGGCATCATCTGGAGTTTGAATGGCGATGCCGAATATTTGGTGCAAAAGCTGCAGTTGCCGCATTACGGATCGAAAGCATCCCCGTGTGCCCTTTGCAAGTGCAGAGGCGACAATTCCGATTCGAGCTGGCATGATTGCCGAACAAGTGCTCGGTGGCTCACGTTGGGATGGACAAGGGAATCATGGTTGGCATACCCGGAGCGATCATCGAGCACCATCTTCTCCAATGCCACTGGTCTCACCCCATTGAACGTGCACTACGATTACATGCACTGCAAGTACTTGGGGGCAGATCAGATCAGCTTCGGGTCGGTCCTTGATTTGTTGGTGAGTCACCTCATGGCAGACTCACCACTAACAAATCTGGGACAATGCTGGGACAAAATCGTTACCTCGTACAAGAGACTGGGAATCTCCGAGAGGTATAGAGGCTTCCGCAAGCTCACAATGTTCCAGAGGAAAAAAAATGCCCCAAGCTGAAAGGCAGGGCGGGCCAGATTGCTGCTTTTGGCGAGCCCCTGTTGGAACTTTGGGAGGAGCACATGCATCCTGATCTTGCTGTGCACTGCAAGATCAGGACGTACTTGCGACTGAACATCGCCATGGAGAAGATCATGAAGGAGTGCCGAGCCGAGACTGCTTTCCCGGAGCCCCAGGCGACCAACTTCATCGAATATGCCTTCGCTATGTGCAATCTTCATATGGAGTTGGGGGCACACTTCGAGACCGAAGGCCTCAAGCTTTTCAGCCCTTTACCCAAGCTGCATCTGCTTTTGCACACGGTTTTGCTTTGCCGCCACATCAACCCAAGACTCACTTGGTGCTACAAAGGCGAGGACCTTCAAAAGGTCAGCAGGAGTTTGGCCGCCAGCTGTGCCCGAGGACTCAGAGGACCGGCGGTGACGGTGAAAATGGTGAGCAAGCTCAGGGCGGCTTGGAACCTGAGGCTGAGCAAAGTCTCTGCAGACTGAGAAGCTCGGGGCGCACCTGAGGCTGAGCAGAGACCGAGTGTGAACAAAATCTTCTGCTGCCGCCGCCAGTTCAGTTCAGGCAAGAAGGGAAGCAGCTGTCCCAGCACCATGAAACATGATCGCTACGTAACATTCTTTAAGTAACATGTGTGCTCTATAAGTAACATGTTCTGGTCTGACGACCAAGGAAAAAAGCTGTCTAAGTAGCATGTGGAACATGATCCCTAGGTAACATTCTCTAAGTAACATGTGCTCGTTTGGAAAAACAAGTTTGGCCTGCTCCTGCTTTTTCCCAAGCTTTTCAAGTTTTCGGCAACAAAATTTCAATGCCATCTGACAAATAACCTTCGGTTATTTTGGTAAATAGACTCGAATTTGCTAGGTTATTTAATCAAACAGACTATATCCTATTTTCTAAATAAACTATTTTCAAGGTTATTCAAAATAGGATAATAGTCAAAAGATAACCTACAAACCCCAAATAAGAGAATAGTTAGGAAATAACCTAACCGAATCTAAGAGGTAATTGTGCGGAAGGAACCGTGCAAGCAGTATATGCTGCAGGAGTAGCTATAAAATTCAGGGACGGCCAAGCGGAGTTGGTTTGGCGCACCACCCGACGTTGTCGCAGCCACATGGGTCGCCTGTACCGCACAACGGCACTGCCCATCGAATTAGCGTATGCAACGACCGACCACCATGGTGGAAGGACAAAGTCTCCCCCTGTGCCGATTGTCTTTGAAAGGTTCGCGCCTCCGGGCTGGGCATACACGGCAGTCACGCGTGCTAAGAGCTGTGACACGCTTCGTCTCATCGGCACACCGACGTCGGAGCATTTCGAGCCGACAGGAACGGAGTTCTAGAAAAGAAGTACATTCGTCTTTGATTGAGTCTTGGGAAAGCTATACTTGGTGTGATGTCTGGGTAAGGGGTCGGCGTTGAGGCGTAAATGCTTGCGAACGTGAAACGGCGCTTGAAGCCCAGACAGGGACATTTTGAGCACCAGAAAGTAGGAGATGTAGTTTGGGGATTAAGGTTTAAGAGGGATATTCTTGGGAGGATATTGTGCGATGTGTAAATATCAGCGGAGGACAGTGTGAGATGTGTAAATATCAGCTCGAGTGAATCCCGCGACTTGCTGTCAGGGGGTCTACCCCCCTTCAACCCCCGACGTGTCAGGGGGGTCTACCCCCTTCAACCCGATACGTCTATGTAAATCTTGGCAGTAGTTGCGGATAGCGTCGCCACAGAGTTTAGGCTTTAAGCACTAGTTGTGCAAAGCCTTCTGTTCTGGTTGGGAACCCGGGCAGAGTAGACTACTGGATACTTGACAAAAGTAATGGCACAGTCTCAACGATCAGGTCATGTTCGTATAACACGCTTAGTCAGCGGCTCAACATTGGGATTGTGAATACCGGAAACCCGAATTCGTCTCGGTTTTGACACGGATAGCCTTGCTGATAACCTACTTGCTTCGCCCCCTGAATACTCAAGTAGCCCTAAGGGTCCATGTGCCCAAGCGTATACTTTGGCCTTCGCGTAGTCAATATAGGTACTTTAAGGCCAAATACATTATATACTATTTGGGTACATGGACCCTAAGGGTACGGTAGTGCGTCAGGGATTGAGCGTCACACCGGCGAAGCGAAGTGGACTAAACCCGCACTCCGCTATCTTAATCTTAAGTCAGAGGTTCTTTGAATCCGGGCAGAGTTTTAGGTTATAGACTAGGGCAATTCGCGCTTAGCTCTTCTTGGCTGGTAGTAGTTCTACTTGACAGCTTTTCTTCGCCACTCTTCACCACTTACTATTATAGTTCGCCTGCGCGAGTCTGAGGGTTTCCCGAAGGGTCCATGTACCCAACTTTTTTTTCCTTAGGCCATCTTGGGCCCTACAGTACCTTTTTCTAGGGACTACTTTATGACCAAAGTATACTTGGAGGGGCAAGGGGACTTAGTAAGTAGGTTATAAGTACCCTAAATGGAGTTACCCCAATTAAAACCCTACTTTATAACCCTACTTACGAAGTCCCCTTCCCCTCCAAGTATGCCATTTGGGCACATGGACCATTAGGATTCAGTTCAGTTTCGAGGACAAGGACTTCATCCTCTCAGTCCCGAATCCGGCACCGTGAAAGTCCAATATCGGGGCCTTACCCAAAGGCCCCAAAGTAGTTCCTTTTTCCCTAGGCATGTAAGGACTCATGTATTAAGGCTTGTGGGCCCAAAGACCATACTATAGAAGGCTTTTGGGCTATTTTGATGCCCAGAGTTTGGGCTTCATGTCTAGAACTTTATAAACTAATACCAGAAAGGAACTACTTTGGGCCTGTGGATAGTGATTAGAATAGGCTTCAAGTTTCCACTCTCAAAAGGAGCAGGGACTCGCAGCGCCGCAGACGAAACCTACATCGCTAAACGGGACCCTGCATGCACCCTAAACCCCCAAGCCCAAACCCTAAACCCTAAACCATACAATTTATCAAAGATTTCTTGAACCCCGACCCAAAATCCGAACGCAAGGTATTTGCTGCAGTACGAGGGCGTGGTGGAGGTCCATTGCGAGGCCTCACAGTTGCGGCAGGGCCATACTGGGATCACCCTAACCCCTTGGTACGGTTGACAGTTTTTGACGCCATTGCAGAAGATGATTGCGGCAGTGACCACGGCACCAACTTTAAAATAATATGTTGTGGCTTCAAGATGGAAGCTCTTCGGGTGTGTCGTGAGGAAATAAGATGGTGAGCATTCTAGTAGGTTTGGGGTGTAAGGTTTTAGGGGTGTAGGATTTAGGGTTTAGGGTTTAGTTCGGTGGAATTGCATTGCAGATTGTCCTTTACCGTTTGGTCTCCTGTTTGCGGCAGATCCTCTTCAACTGCCCCTGTATTCCTTGCTTTTGACTCAGATCAGGGTGCGCAATATGGGAGTTTCCGAAAATAGCGCACCCTAATATGGTACCCTAAATAGTAGGATCCTTATTATAACGACCCCAAAAATATGGTACCCCCTAACTTTCGGAAACTCCCATATATGAAGCCAAATGTCATTGATGTGCATCCAGAGGTTTCGTGCCGACAGTTGCAGATTCAGCCTTTGAGGGGCTCTAGGCTTCGTCTTCTTCCTGTAAATCCATCCGCAGTTGCATGCAGGAACTTCCGTGGCTACCAACAGTAGAGCTTTACCATTATCATTGGGATCCCAAAACCCAACCGTTTTAACGGCTCTACCCTCGAATTAAGGGGTCGTAACCTACTATTTTGTAGGGTTTGGGGATAGAGGATGGCTTTAACCCGACTCTTCGTAGCTGAGTGGCTACACTCTACACTTTCTTGGGATCGTATTACTCCGTATTACCCACAATAACACTGAAAGTGTACACGTTTTGGGGGTTATGAATTCAGCAACTAAGGACTCTACTACCCGAAGATTATATTGGATCCCCTAAACCTTAAACCCTCAACCGCATTAAAGGGAAAAGGGGCAGGGTCGTGGTTGTCAAACCCCAAATTCAAAAGCCAATGACCGAACCCATAGGGGTGGTAGTCAAAATTAGGGTCCCTTTTTGGGTACCTGAAATATTAGGTGCCGAATAATTCAGGACCCAAAAAGGGACCCTCATTTTGACAACCACCCATAGATCAAGCTCCTCATGAGTGCCAGGTTTCAGCATGCAAGCCTCACACAAGGTTGCTGGTCTTTGTTTCTGCAGCCACACCTTCACTATCCGAACCCCCAGGGTGTGTGTATATATGTTTGTATATATATATATATATATAATGTACATACGTATACGCATGTAATGTATGCATGTGCACACAGAAAGGTATATGTGTTTGTATACACATATATATATATATATACTGTTGTCCGTACCATCATGAAATGGTTAATCTCCTTTGGGCTAGGTAGACATTGCACTGCACTCTGTCTATCTTCAATTTCTGGGTCGGGGTACAGTTGGATTCGGGGTTTCTGCCCCGATATAATTAGAGGCATCGGAGCCACAAGCAAGAGTATCAAGTATAGTTATCCTATCTATACTGCGAGGTACTCTTCCCCAGACCCTTTCCAAAACATTTCAGGCCCTTAGACCCCAAAACCTCTAGACCCATATCCCCAAAGCCCTCGCGTAGGGTCTGCAGAGTCGGCCCAAATTGCATCTTGAAGCTCTACTTAAAGGATCATGGGACTTAGAAATTGGGGTTCTGAGTAAGATGAAGTAAGTAAGATGACTACAGTTATACATGCTTATAACGCCAACAAACATGCTTATAATCTTACTTACTAAGTCCCATGATTCCTTAAGCAATAGCGGGCTTTTACGGGTTTCTCTGTGGATTGGGTAGGGAAGCTGGAGTATCCCCAGAACGTCCTTGCATGGTCCATAGCTATACATGAATTGAACACTATCAGTACACTCAAGAAATACTTTTCACCCTACCCAGTGTTTGAAAGGTGAAGGTTTGAATCTTCGCGTTTAAGGGCTCTTACAAAACTTTCGGTCTGTCGAGGTCGCGATTTTAAGGTTCACGTAAACTCCTCTACCCCGTGTAGCTGGGCAAGTACGGAAGCAGTGGACACGCACATGCCGAAGAGATGGACATGGGCAAGAACGGCGCACCGTCACCTGACCGCGCCAGGAACGGCAGGACTGACCCGTCCGACGTCGGGGACGTTTGTGTGTCTGCCGTGCTCCTTCCATGTCTGCCGTGCTCCGTCCAACCTATACGAGCACCGACTTGTCTAGGATTTCGGTCCCGGCGGCAGTTTACTAAAAGCTTGCCGGCTCCCTCGGTCGATTCTGTGTAAATAGGGTCAATGCCGCACTAGAAACAGACATGTAGTCGTGTCTGCACAGCCGTTATTGTCAATGATGTTGTTAGACTGGGAGTCTAGCCCTCTGTTCTGTTGGCGTCATATTGCAACATGCATGGCTTTTCGCGGCAGCTGCTATGACATCTGTTCTGAGGTCATGAAGCTGTTGGATTTGTGTTTCCAGAT